GGCTGTGATCTATGTTGTTGGCTGTGCTTGCAGAGGCCTTACCCAGCATCTCTGTGTCTGTATCTATCTGTGTAAGGTGCTTTCTCCTGCCCTACACCTGTGCTCCATTCCAGGCAGCTAGACCAGAACCCGAGTAACTGAAATATAGAGAAATATAGAGAAAATGCAGGCCCTTGTAAGAACAATAGCTGAGAAGAACAGCCATTAAACATTATAGGAGAGAGGAAGAGTCTAGTAGTAATCAGAATGACTCATCCCAATGGTACAAAAATCCCAGGGTCAAAAACTCTTGAGATTAGCTTAAAAATCACGAAACTTTCAAAACAATTTATTAGAGTTCTTTGCATTTAACTTACCAATTTGGAGGTTTTAGGGTTCATATTTTTAATGCAACCCTTCTGCCAAGCACCAGTTGGTAGCAACAAGGGCTGGGTACAAATTTCAGGGTACACAGTAAGTTTTCACTGTACTCAAGCCCCCACCCAGAAATCTGAGATCACTGAATTTGGCTGGGGTGTCCCGCATAAACAAAACCCCCAAAAACAGCAAACCGTGTAAACACAGAGGACAGATTTACTACAGAAAACAAAGGCAATGAAACAAAGGAAAACACCACGTGCCATTTAAACACTCTTAACTACCAGGTATAGTCTCTACTTTGCACCCCTTTTGGGGAGACTCCAGCAATGGCCAGGCAGTCTGGGACTTGGGGGCTCACCCAAAGTGTTAGTTCCAGGGTCCTGTACCCCCATCTCTGTCTGCTCAGCAACAGGCTGGGTGAAGGTTCTGCGAGCTGCTCCTTGGGTTCACGTCACCTTGGAGGGCGGCTAGGTCCTTCTGTGATGCAAGGGCCTCCTAGTTGCTTCCTAGAAGGGCGTACAGCAGCAATCTCCACTTCCACATGGAGGCTTTGGGGGGTGACCACACCCCAAAATTCCTGGATCCAAATCCTAGAGCTCCAGCTGGAGCAGAAAACTGTAAAAGCACACAAAAGAAAAGGAACCAGACCTATCCTGGTGTGGGCCTGGGCTGCAGATGGGCTCAGCTACCCAGCTAGGCTGACACAAGCAACTGATATAGCAATGAAAAGGACCAGGCTCTAATCCTCGTGGTTTGCTCCAGGGATTAATACCCCCATAATATTATCTTACCCCAAACCCAAGAAAGCAGAGCAGGGGACAGAGAGAGGAGGGGAGTCCCAGACTCAGAGACTCTCCCACTCCCCTGGGAGTTCTCCTTCATGTTGGCTTCTCTGACTGGAGCCCTCCCTGGGGTCCTCCTAGCCCCCAGCTCCCTCTTCCTACATACCTGGTGTGACATCACCCTAGCTTCTCCAATCAGGGCTTGCCATGCTTCCAGTTTTTCCTTTTAACCAATTAATTAAAATAAGAACATTTCCCAGGTTAGCCAATCAGACTAAGGGTGTCATCCCCTTACTTACACAACTGAGCCCCATACTCTCTTGTTTACAGTATCTCTAGACAAAGGAGCTTTCCTGCCTATCTGCAGCATATTTCTCCTTCCCAGACTAACAAGCAGGCAAGATACAGAGGACATGATCAAATCCAGCATATATAAAGCATGATCATCTCTTGAAACCAAAACACCTTTGTAGTGCAAAATGGCTTGTACATTGTGTGTGGGTTACATTAATCTTCCTGTGCCGTCCTCAGAACTAGAATCTAACATTAAAGCAAACAGAAGCCAAGATTCTCCCAAAATTATGCAGTTCTAGAAGCAAAGACTTGGACAAAGATGCCCAGTATCCCAAGGCTCACAAGTTGTCAGGCTGAATGTTGTCAACGCCCAGTATTTACATCTCCAAAGCATTTGCAGTTTACTTCTCACCACACCCAGCCTTAAAGAGCAAACAAGTCATTATCTCTCTTTTGCAGACCAGGAAATGGGTACACAGAGCCATAAGTAACTCACCCAAGGTCCATTAAATTCCCCTGCCTGTTTTGACAGGGGGGAGGAAATGGATTAGTCAAGCAGGGGTGGACAATTATTTTGGGCAGAGGGCTGCTTATTGAGTTTTGGCAAACCATGGAGGGCCACATGATAGACAGCCAGGGGCAGATAAATATTAATTTTCTAAATTTTTAGGGGGCCCGTGGGCCAGATAGAATGGCCTGGCGGGCCACATCTGGCCCCCGGGCCACATTTTGCCCACCCCTGGATTGGTGGGAGAGCTACAACAAAGCAGTTTCCTTCCAGCCAGCTGCTGGCAAGGGAGAAAACTCTTGCAACACATGGGAAGCAAGTGTATGAGGTGAGAGGGACCTGCCAAAGGGCATGTCCCAAACTGGGTAAACAGTTCTGTCCAGAGGAGGGACGGGGTGAAGGTAGGGTCCACTGGAGAGAGAGGGGTTGAATTCTTTGCTATGCTGGTGTGATGATCACAGGCAAGTCATTCAGGCTTGGTCTAGGCCTAGGTTTTACCAGTCTTAGCTATTGAAAAAGTTATGCCGGTACAACCCATAATGTTGGTTATGCTGGTCTGAGCCCCCTTCTAGCAGGATGACCACATTCCCCTAGGCCCTACAGCCAGCTAGGGGGGTTGCAGTGTTTTAACTAGCATCGAGTTCAAGAACTGTTACCTGTGGGTTCGGGTGCACATAACTGAACTGTACCAAGAATGTCACTGATTAGGAGCATGTTCATGACTGTCACAATTCAGAGGTGTCCACACATACATCACCAAAGGTTTTAAGTTGAAAGGTCACCTTTCGGGTATAGTAGTGCTTTGAACTCCCACCAGTGGAGGGAGCAAATGTCTTTATTTTTTTAAGTAGTACTTTTCAAGTTCCAGGTCAAATCAGCCAAATCTGTTCCAAGTTATATCAATTGAGCAGAATATAATCATTCCAAAAACCATATAAATGGAACAGGCAGAACTCAATCATTCCAAACACTGTGTATGGTGCTACAATGGGCAAGCATCCTCTGTCCCAGGCTCTCACCCTGAGACTTCGGATATTCCCAGATCCATTGGCAGGCATCCATGCAGGCTCAAGCCCAGAGGTCTTGGGATTCAAATGTCCCCAGTTGATCTTAGCCCAGTTTCCCCAGGATTTCCCTAGTAGCAGAGAAAGACCTTAACAAGTTCGATCGGGTGGGGAGCTGCCTGGACCATTGCCTCTGCTTTCTGGGGCTGAGGTTTTTGCTTGTAGCCATATTGGTCTAAAGCCATTGGCAGGCAGGGTTCTTTGGGTAGATGTGACATATTTTATTAGACCAGCTGAGTAGTTGGAACAAAGTTCTTTGCAAGCTTTCGGGCACAAGCACTTGCAAAGTACTTTGTTCCAACTACTCCATTGGTCTAATAAAAAGATATCACATCTACCCAAAGAACCTTGCCTGCCTTCTGGGGCTAGGTATTTTGGAGGCTGCCAAAGGTCTGTGCCTCAGGCTGCAGCTTTTAAAAAGACTTTCCCTAGAACAACCAGAAACACAGAGCCAGTGCACAATTGACACTTAATACCACCAAGTGGCTGCCAGTTCCACGCTCTGACAATATGAACTGGTGCATTAATTGTTCCTCTCCCAAAATTAGAGGCACCTTCCCCATCCACCTAAGTAGTGAGCCAGACCAGAGCAGCCAGTTGCCATGCGGGGGATGGGGCAGAGAGGGGTGCAGTGTGGGATGGCTGGAGGACTGACCAGATGCTGGTCATGGAAAGTTTGGTGCCTGCACATAACACTGAATGGGTTCAGGGAAAAACCAGTTCAAAATAATACCTGATTATCCAGCTATACTATTGAAACATTCTGGGAGGTTTACACTGCTCTGAACTGCACACTTGCAGTTGCACCCACAATTAAAATGGTCCAAGTATTATATGTGTAGAAAAGGCCAGAGTCTCTCCATGCTTCATTTTCTGCTACTGCCCTAGAGGGATGTTGTGAGGACACCATGAGACATTGCCCAAAAAAGTGATTGAAGTGAGTGGGGTAGGGTGGGTGCATTTGCAGGTAGCCAGTCTGTCAGTGGGATTTTCTTTCAGGTTAACAGCCTGTCACACTGTTAAATTCTGTCTGGACCTAATGTGAACTCTGCTCTGATTAAAGAACATTAGGCAGCAGTGGACTGGCAAGGTCTCTGAAGGAAAGGAGGGAGCTTTCCTTCTTCAAAGGGTGGCCTTGTATGAAAATAAACTCCAGTTCCTCTTATGGGGCAGTGTGCTAGAGTGGAAAAAAGATGTAAAGACCTGGAGCCAGAGCCTGTCAGCAGCACTTTGTAATCCTGATGCTCTGCGGTAGAGGAGAGAGCTGGCCATAGGGGCTTCATGCTGCTGAATCGTTAGTTGTTTTTTGCTGAGCCATCCCGCAGCCCCACCACACCACCCAGCACACAGGCAAGCAGCCAGGCCTCACATGGGGCAGGCGGGAGGGTGGGCAGGCTCTGGAGACTGGCAGGGTTGTAAAACTGGCTGGTGCTTGACAGGGACATTGGAGCAGTGATAAGCATCCCAATGAGCTTGTGTGAGACAGCAAGCAAGGCTTTTACCAAAGAACCAGACTCTGCAGGGGCACCCCAGGACTGGACAATTTTGTTTTAACTCTCTCTACACCAGTAGGTTATTTTGCTTTAAAAATGTGGGGCTTGTGATCAACTTGTAAGAGATGATGGACTGCATTAGTATGAGAAGCTAAATAATAGCTCATGTTGGGACAGAAGTAAGATGCCTCTACCCCAGGCATGTTACAAAGTCTGTGTAAAAAAAACCAAAACCTCTTTTCTAACAGCTTTTCACCAAAGCTGTTAGAAGAACAGTTTGTCATTGTTGTTTGTATCGTTATAGCAGCCAGGGTCAGGGACCCCATAGTGCTATGGACCTTTGGTGTCACTTGGATTTAAACCTTTCCCAGCAATGGTTGCTACCCCACAGATGCTGCTACACTGGCTGAGGGGGTGAGAGCCAGGAAGCAGAACTCACTCAAGGGGGTTCTTGCTGCTCAAGCTGGATGAAATGCTGGAACGGCATTCATCTCAAGCATTTTTTTTTTGGCTTTCATGATTCTAGGTGTTACTAATGGCAGACGCAGGGACCAATCTGGATAATTTTTGTATAAGATTTCTTTAACTGACAGTGTGTTAATGTGACTGCTTTTCACAATATGGAAATGAGGTAGAGTCCCCCTCCAGACTTAGCACAGACAGCTTTGCATTTTTAAAGCCACAGTACCAACTTTGAGGGCTGGTTCCCAGAGCACTCAGTGTTTTGGATGCTGAGTTCTTTAGAAAACCCAGCATGGGAATCATCTGGTAAGAGATAAGACCCAGTTGTGGGTGCTGAGCTGTTGAAAAAATGCTCCTGACTCTCAGAGGTGCTGAGCAGTCAACTCTCAGCAAAATCAGCAAGAGCTGCAGGTGCTCATCACCTCTAAAATTCAGAGGCTACATTACTGAAGTCATATAAGACATCTCTTCTGTCCCATTTTATAGCAGGGAAACTGAGGCAGGGATCAGATGTGATTTGGCCAACACCCACTAGCCAGTCAGGTGTGAATGTTCTGTGCTGCACGCCAGCCTGGGAAGGAGGACACGACACAATGATCTCACAGTCATTTTATTGCCACTACTTTACATATATATTGTTGTGCAATAATTGTTTGAGACTTGTACATCAAAACTGCTACAGTCATCCTTATTAACAGAAAAGCCCAGCCAAGCTCAGCAGTTATTAGTTATTAAGTGATGGTGTTATTTTCTGCCAGGGGTACTGACTAACTCTCTTTAGGTCCCTTGAGCCATGTAGTAAGGAGAATAATTTCTATGAGAGCCCTAAGCCAGCCATCTCACAGCTTAAACATGCCTATGGCCATCTGTTCCGGTCCATATAAATTCTTCTCAGGAGCATACAAGGTTCTTGTGTCTGTGAGCCCACCCAAAAGCATTCTCACATGCCTGCCTCAGATGTGACCCTGAGAGCCAGGGCGGCTCTTGAGGAATGAAATCCTCCCATGAGCAATCACCTGGGGAGTCCTGCAGTTCCTCTGTCTTGCGAGAGTCTGGGGTTGCCTTAGTCAGGCAAAGTTGCAGTTCTTTGAACCAGGATTTCTTGAAATAAAGGCTTCCGTCCCAGACCCCAAAGTAAAAGCCGCGTGACACCAATGTATTGCATACAGTTTTGATGGTTTTCTGTATAGGCTTAAGGCCCAAACTGCCCCTGAGATTGATCACTTGGCATCCAGCACCCATGTCCTCTCTATAGTGTCACCCTGATGTTGTGAATCAAGGCAAGGGACTATTAGCTCATGAACCGTGTTCCCAGTGAGCGAGCTCAGATCACCAGCTGTCTTGGGTCTATTGGTTGCCTAATCAAAGAGGAATCAGCCCAACACAGGGAAGTCACAGCATGGCTGCCCAGTCTGGAGGACAGTCTCACCTTCGGTCTGTCTATTCCAAACTGGGAGCTCAAAGCTGCCTCTTTATATGGGCCTCGGTTACAACACAGCTAGTTCCACTGCCTGCCTTTGGATTCTCCTCATTCTTCTCTCATCTTGCCTGACTCCCAGGGTTAGCAGAACAAAGAAACAAAAGCAGGGGAAGTCATAGTTAAAAGGTCATGCAGGGCACAAGTTAGATGCACTGTGTGGCAGGAGCATGCCAAAAAGCCCGACTAAGTCATCTTGTGCTTAGAGCAGGTCAGAAGCTCTGCTGCAAGTCAGGTGTCAGAATAAATGGGTAACTTGAGGTGACATCCTGTGGCTGCTCCACAGATGGTCAAAACAACACAGCAAACACCTTTCAGATACGTGCAATAAATTACCTGGCTTACAAGCACTGGCACCCAGCAGGGTCACCCTTCCCAGTGCTGTAGCTTCTGCAAAAAGAGGTGAGGTCTGGAGAGACAGCAGAGCTGGCAGCTGAGAGGCAGGGAGGTGTTCCCTGAAAGCCTCCTTGGGCATCCCCTCTAGTGCCCCATGTCACACTTCCTCTGGGTTCTGCCACCCCACCCAGGGACGTTCCTCATGGCCACTTATCGGAGGGCAGCCTTGGCTGACTTCACTCCAGTGTTTCCCTAGCAGCTCTTGCCAGTTCCAGGGAGCCGACACACGATGTGCTCAAAATGTGGGAGCTGACATTCCCTACACGGGAAGGCAGGGCTGGGCACAGCAAATCTGTTAGTAGAGGTACAGGACACAGCATGAGGACAGGATGAAGCGGGCACCTGTGAGTGTGGCAGAGAAGGCAAGGCTTTGCCCAGGTAGATGCTTTTCTCATAAGTCCATGAGCCACAGGATGTTCAGCCCCACATAGTGAGAGAGCAGAGAGTGCAGGATCCCAGCTCCTGACAGTCCAGTGAGAATCCAGATTAACCCAGCGTTGAAGTACATCGGGACTAACCTGGAGGGATTGAAAATGAATTTGAACCACTGGCCTCTCACATGACACTCCTTTGCAGGAGGGGAGAGAGGTGTAGAGAGGGTAGGTCACACAGGCTCCCTCACCCCTCCCTGGCCCAGACCTTCCCTTTCCACCTGCACTAATCCCCTCCGCTGCGCTGGCTCCCCTGATACTTACGATCAGGGGAAGCTCAGGACCTCAGAAGACTCTGCACGTGCTCTATACCTCCTGCCCCAATCTGTACCCGTGCCCCTGGTACCGTCATGACAAGCGCAGTGGTGTTGGGACGGGTTTCCCATGAGATGTAATGCAGCCTTTATGAAACATTATGCCAGGGTTCTGCAATGTCCCATACAGTCACTGTTTCCTTTACTCTAGCCCCGACTGCACCTCCCTATCCAGGGGAAGAGAATGCTTGGCAGCTCTGATTCTTGGTGATCTTTCAAAGGGAGGCCTGAACAAGGTGAGGAAAAGCTGTAGCCTCAGGAAGTGAGCCAGGCCACACACCTCAGGCTTTATATCCCCATACCCAAAACCCCAGGGGAGCTCAATGCCTGTGCCCAGCAAGTCACCATTACCTTCCTGAGGCAGACTCCTTATACCCTGTGAAGTAGAGGTAGCGTGCGTAGAGGTAAAGCAGGCCACAGACAGCAGCCAGACCTGCAATGGAAAGGAAACAAATCCTAGCAGCCCACACCAAAAGCTTTGGGGAGCTGCCTGGGCACCCAAGAGAGGTGACTGCTCCTCAGCTCGAAGCTCTGACCACCCCTCCGGACAGGCAGAGCTGCTGCCCGACCTCTCTGTTTCCAGGCCACCCCTTTCAGACTTAACCTCTGGGGCAGATCCTGGTGGCTCCATATCTACTATGAGCGCGATCCGGACAGAGAATTGAGGAAGCCGGGCCCATCACCTCTGACTGCCAGCACACGGCTAGCATGCCAAGCTATGGAGAGCAGATGCAGCATTTCCTGTCTGACCCGGTAGCCAGGCAGTCTCACCTTGATGGAAGAAGAGGCCAGCCTGCCAGAGAACAGCCAGGAAGATGGGGAAATACTCCGAGCAATTCACCCTGAAGGAAAAGAGGAAGAATAGGGTTGTTCCTTCTGCATCTCCCAGGGGCTGCAGGTTCCTGTGTTTCCACAGACAAGTTCTCCACAAGCCAGCACCCAAGCATGGGCAATGGTGCACAGTGCCCCGGGTCCTGTGACCAGCATTTTGCCTCACCTTCCCTTATTTTGTCCTTGCCTTTGCCCTTGGCACCTTTGGGCCATAATTTCTGTCATTTATGGCTGAGATGTGTATGAGCAAATCTCAGGCTCCTGTGTGCCCCAGCCACTCATGACTGAGCCACAGCAGCTAACCTCAGAGCAAATCCAGCATGGACACTACTACCTGTGGTGTCGATGCATGATATCACAGTGACGCTGCCATCGGGGCCCTGCCAGACCGAGCCAGTGCCCGCAGGAAGAATGTATAGCTCTGATGGGTCTGTGAGAGCTTTACCAAAAACCCAACAAGCGCTGCACCAAGACAGCAGATTGACTGACAGAGCAGGCGAGGGGGGTGTACCTCCTCATGACTCTGGCCCTGGCAAAACAGTTCCTCCAGCTCCCCGTCTCTAGCATAACACTGGAAGCACCTCCAGCCCCATGAAGCCTTATGAAGAAGTTGTCTGATCAGCTCTGCCACCAGTGAGAGCCTGGGAGCAGAGGCAAAATGAGATATTTTTGTGCCGTGGGCAGAGATACCAGGAAGTGGGGTGAAGGGTAAAGGGGAATTGGTGCCCAGTGCTTCAGTCTTACCTGATCACAGATGCTCCCCTCCCCCTGAATGCTGATACCACGGCATGGGCTCCCTGGGGATGGTCCCCTCTAAACTGGCACCCTGGGGTAGGTGTTTCACTTGCCCGACCCTAGCTATGCTACTGTATGGAGCTTCTTTAAACAAACTGCAAAAAGCCTCTTACTGTGCTCGAAAGATCCTCTCAAATTCTGGGGGCCCTGCAACTTTGGGAGGAGAAATGCCATACGTCCTCCTGGCATAGATCACCTGGAGGCTGAAGTAAGCTGCAAGGAAAGGAGTAAGGGAAGGATGATGTTACCAGCCTGCCTGGAGATGAACTGTGGTGATGGAGCTCCTTTGATGAGCTGCATCCTCTTACTACGATCCAACAGCACACAGAAGAGCGGAAAGGGAGGTTAGAGTAACATCTCTGCATGTAACAGGGCCGTGTCTTCTGCCTCCCTGCCTCCCCCCGGCCTTCAGACTACTCCTGCCATAAAGAAATTAACCCCACCATAAAGAAATTATGTGGAGGCCTCCTATCAATACTCCCAAATGAATAAAGGAGCTTTTGGACAGAATCAGATTTCTCCACAAGTCAGGTATTTCAGAGATGCTGGGTTTTTGGTGTTGGTCTAATAAAAGACATCACATCAAAGAACCTTGCCTGCGTATTTCGGAGAGGAGATTAGGGAATGTACCAGTGCTCTGGCGGGGCTCACACAGTCCAGCTCACATGGCCTGGACTCTGCGTTACACTGTCTGCATCCCACATGGCTCTATGTCAGTTTACTTTATCCAAAAGGACGTGGAGAGGTGATTTGACACCTGGGCTCCAAGGTCTTTTCAAAGGAGAACGCACAAAATTCCAAATGGTGCACGAACTGACAGCTGGAAGCCGAAATTTGAATGAAAACTCAGCACAACTTGTGAACAAGTGGGGATGATCAACCATTTAGATAAACTCCCAGAGAACAGTGATCTTCTGGCAGAAAAAGCTCTGATTGCACAATCAGCATTTGCCATGGAAAAACTTAGGTTTCGTTTAAATTCTTTCTTGTGGAAAATTGGCTGCCTGCCTGGGAAGTTCGTGTCCACTTCAAGCTAGCCGAGTTCAGAATATTGACCCTGTGCTTCGCTGGCTCTCAGCAGTCCCGCGCGCCCCTCAGCAGTAGGCAGCAAGGTGGGTGCTCAGCCCTGCTGCCTTCTTCTGCGAGGGAGCTCTCTGCCTGTGTTGGTCCAGGGCTGGGGAAAGGAGGGCAGCTGAATGCCCTTGCACGCTCTTTACCAGGCGGGCAGGCCAGCAGCCTCATAGATTTCATAGATATTAGGGACTTCACAGATCACCAGGTCCAGCCCCCCTGCACTTGGGCAGCCTCTATGAATTTAATTTTCTGCCAATTGACAAGAATCCAAAATGTGCTGTCTTGTCAGGAAGTTCTTTCTACAGTCCCATCATCTGCAGCTGTTTGTGTTTTAATATGGACTTCTTTGTGGGAAGGGGTCAGGATCTGAACTGTTGTTCTCTAGATCACCGTTACTTATGACAAACATCTTTAGGAATGAATAAACACTGCTGTTAGTGACAGTGAGAAATCCCCAATGAATGAAGATGGGTTTGCTTATTTATTTCACGACTGCAAAGTTAAAGTGAACAACTGCATTGAATTACATCTGATCGAGTGTGACCATGTAGCACACTTACATCTTAGACTGGGGGTTTTCAACCTTTTTTTGGCCGGTGTATCCCCTGCAGCTGGTTGAGAGGCGGGGAGTCCCCCGGCAGTCAGCTGACAGGTGGCTGGGGTGGGAGAGTGTCCCTTGGGCCACATCGTCAAAACCAGAAGTGCTAGCAGCACCAGCGAAAACAAAAGTGCTGGCGGCACATGGCACGCAGCGGCACAAAGTGGTGGCGGCCCTACCCTTGGTTTCTCCGTGTCACAGCCACGTACCCCCTGTGGCCTTCTCAAGTACCCTGAGGGATACGCGTACCCCTGATTGGCAACCCCTGTCTTAGACTCATCACAGGAAAATTAACAAATAAAAAACCATATCTCTATCTAGAGATGTAGGATGCTCCAAATTAGTTTAACAGGAAAGTGCATACGGTTACATGGTAGTAGACGTGAATCACTGCTGTAGCTTTGAGAGATAAAGGAGTTTTTTTGATATCTTTTATTGGACCAACTGTATGTCTGAGAGAGAAGTTTAACAAACTTTCAGTGACCCGAAGAAGGGCAGAGTGTGTCTAAAAGTTTGCCCGATAAAAGATGTCACAAAAAACCCTGGTCTTTTATACATAGCTGCTGCGTTTTCAGAGAAACTCTGAAGACATCTGCTGGTTCAGCTAATAGCAGCATATGGGAATAAAGTAGTACCGGTAGTTTGTTAATTCCTAGTAACCAGGTTCTATGTCCTAAAAGCCATTGGTCAGAACAGCACCGTGGTTTAAACTGGGCTTTGCGTGTTTGTAACCAATCCATAAACATGGTTACTTGTGATCTGATTGTGTCTGCATTGTTTCTGAAGAGGAGTATGTCGTATAATAAGCAAAAACCAGAACACTGCCCAGAAGAAAGATATGTTTTATTTGTAAAACAATGTTAAAGAGATAATCATTTGCATTCTCAATTTGTCTAAGAACAAACCAGGGTTTATAAAGTCTTCTTAATTTGTAACTGTTCAGATACTGTCTGAGGAATGATAGTCTTCCAACATCCAGTCACATTTTGATGTTGACATTTTTAAACATTCCATTTTGATCTTTTTTTACGTGTAATCACTGGTGGAGGAGCTGATCCTGCCCATAAGCAAAAAACAGGCAAGGTAGGAACAGGTCTAGGAAGATCCTTCCCTCCCAGAACCGCTTACTCCTGCCGGCCAGGACTGTGTTTCTCCGGGCCTCCATTCTCCACAGCTGCAAGCTCCAGGCTTTTAATTTCAACTGAACAGCATGTGCAGTCAAGGAGCCGTAAGGAGCCTACCTGTCAAACAGGTTCTTCTCTTTCTTTGGGAGCATCTTCTCATTTATGGAGGAAAAGAAAATCCCAAACAGGTAGAGACTGAATCTCGGGGGGGGGAACCTCTATTATCCTGACATCCCTGGCCCCAGTTTGAGTTGGTCTAATAAAAGATATCAGATTTACCCAAAAAACCTTGTCTATGCCCTTAGACCAACACGGCTACAGCCTATACCCCTGGCCCCAATTTGTGGTTCATACTCTTAGAAAACACTGAAGAACAGCAGAATGATAGGTACCTGGGCAGACATTTAATAGGCAAACTGATGCATTCATTAGGCAAACAGAAGAGTGGGAGGGTGTTGATGGTACCTGGCCTGATCCAGTTAAATGCTTGGCTTACCTTGCTCTAAGACACCCAGAACTGTCACAGCAGCCAGAAGATGAATCTGCTCCAGCATGTTGACTCTTCCAGGCTATGGGCCCTGGAGATCAGTTGCCTGCTTGATGTCTCCTCTCCTCGGTTCCTCTCTGCTCTGATCAAGAGTCAGGGTCCTCTGGCAGACAGGAAGGCTGGGTGCTGGCAGAACTTGCTGGGTCCAGAGCCGAATGCCCAAAAATGGAAGGTTTCTGGCTTCCCTTTAGTTTACAGATGCAGATAACAGAAAACAACAGAATATAAAGGGAGTCCTTGTCCATATTAGTATTTCCATTTTTGCCCTCTTCCAAGAAAAAGGAAAATCCCAAGAGGCAGGCATGAGCTAAAGAGAAAGGCAGGACTAGTAGCTGGGAGCAGAGGATAAACATTAACAGTTAGATTTAAAATCACCCCTCCCCTCCTCTTCCTCTGTCACAGACACATATGCGTCCAGTGCTTTTTCTTCCCCTTGGTGCACAGCACTCTATGGGCTGCTCTGTGTGTTTGCTGAAGATTTCTTATCGTAGTGACTCCAGTGCCCACTTGACATTCTGAAATTCTTACAAAATACCCACAGGAACAACTAAGAGAAGCTGGGATTTAGCTTTATTACACAGAAATTATAAATAATTCCTATAGAGCCTGGCTACCTATGCAACCGTTCCACTGCAATGGGGAGACTGGACAGTAGAGAGTGTTCAAAGACACGGAGATCTATTTTGCAGGAGAATTTTTTCCTGGAGGGAAATGCTGCAGGGCATGAATTTCAAAGCCACCAAGGAGGTTTAGACACACGTTTCCCACTGAAAAGAACATCAAAATCCTCTAGTTAGAGTCAGAGTTCCCCGCCTGGCTCACAGCAGTATCAGCAGGAGCGCTGCCTGAGGAAAAGCTGCAGGTTTAGTGAGGGTATCGCAATAAATCCACTGCATCACTTACACTTCATAAACCAGGAGCAATCCCATGAATGTAATGCCCATTGCTAACACAACCGGCATATGTGAGAAATGAATCAGGCTTTGTGTCCTTCTTTTGCGCTGTTGCTATGCAGTTTCCTTTGACTCCATCCCAGAGCAAAATCAGAAACGGAAGGCAAAGCAATCAATTGTTAAACCTCACTACAATAGAAATTAGATTAGCCCAACACAGTTTACAGGAATTACACAGAGGAAATGGTACTGACAAACTTCCTATCGTCTAATATCTTTTAAATAGCAAAAGAAAGAAAAAAGTAATGCTTTTTGCTGCCTCTTTATGAGAGAGAGATAACCTGAAAGGTTATAAAAACATCTATGATTGTTTTTCTTCACTTAGAAGTATTAGTAATGCTGGGGTTTGTTTTCTCTGGCTTCATTTGAAGGTTAAAAAAGAGCCAGGGCCAGATTCTGTTTCATCTATTAGGTGCATAAGCAGACTTAGGCATCTAAAGGTGACCCTATTCTGCTCTGTTCAAGCTAATGCATCCGCTTTGGTAACATGCTGTCATCTTACTCGGAAGATTGAGTCACAAAAACAAGGAGAAAGCAGAAGGACTCATCCACGGTCTGCATTACTTGTTTTTCAGAGGCTCAGGATTGCATTTAAGTGCTTGAGTCTACTTACATGCCTAAGAGAACCTGGCCCTGGGTGTGTTTTCAGCGCTCATTCATGGGGCAGTAGTTTCTAATAATTGACAAATACAGTTTTTCTCCCAGCTGTTTGTCAGAGTCAAGTCTATTGACAAAAGGAAATGCAAAACAAGGCAAGCAAAGAAAAGACAGAGGCCGGATGCTCCCTTCTCTTACACTGGCATAGATCAGGGAAAGATCCCTGACAACAACGGAGTCACAGGCGTAACGTTCATGCACATGAGATGAGGACCAGGCCTGAGGAATTTGTAAGAATCAAATAAAATCCCTTTTCAACTCAGAACATCACAGTCCTGCCCACTCGCCTGTCATTCTGAAAAATAACTTTAAGCATAAGCAGAAGAACGAACTAAACAAGCACAGACTGTGGACAAAATTCCTCAGGCCACCTCTGTTCTTGCAAGAAGGCACAACCCCCCTTTCTTTCCTTTAGCAGGTTATTCTTTTTTAAGCCATTCGAGGGAAGTGAGCTAGAAGCACCTGCCTGTCACTGTTGGGTTCTGATGGCCGTCCCCAAGGCCACGCACCGCCTGATGAGAAGGCCAGGTCTGTTACACCCTTATCTCCCTAGGAACCCAATAAGCAAACCATATATCTGAAGCTCCTTTTTAATCAGAGATAATGCTTCAACCAAGGAGTAAGTGGCCCGAAGTCCAAAGCTACATATGCTGCCAATACAAACATTTGAAGAAACCTCTAGGAAAAGCAGTTAACATGCCAGGGTGCTTTCCCTTCACTTAAAGAAAAAGCTTTCTTAGGTCAAATGTACACAAGCTATTTCAATCCCAGTCATAAGTAAAGATTTGCAGCACTATACAGAGAGGAGGCTGGATGAGAAGGAAGCCATAATTAATAGATCATGCACAGGAGAAAAGAATTCAATTCAGGCAGGTGTGTGTTTAATGGAGGCAACTGAGTTATCAAAGTTACTGTTTCTCTTTGGGGAAAAGCTGTCACTGTGACAGAAAAAAAATAGCACAGTGTCCAGAAAGGATTGTGGCAAATGTGAAAGCTATCTAGAGAGCTGGGACCTGCTGGACCCCTTGCTCAGCCGACTGGCACAACCGCCGGAGAGACTTGGTTCCAGCAAAGGCTCTGAAAACAAAGCGCTCGAGACAGAGGAGCAGCACCCCCGTTGCCAACACGGTGCAGGGCAGCAGCGACCAGTCAGCCCCTGAGTACCTAACCTAGGCGTGAGATATAATAGAAATCATTGTACCTGTTGTGAGTGCTCAAGAAACTGCTCCCGAGGCCAGCTGCTGCTCTTGTTAAACAATAGAAGAGGAGGGATTTTATTCTTAACGCAGAGGAAATAAAAAAGCAGCTTGACTTCCAGACCACTTCCTTCCCAGTAGATAACACACACAGCCCTGTGTTGCAAGGATATGCAAAGCCTGCAGCAAGTTTCCTCTGCCAATTGGAAAAGTGTCTTCTTCCTTGGAGGGGGGTGTGCGCTGCGCTGCTCCTGAGCTCCGGCGCGGCTGCAATTGTGTGTCCTGTGCAGGGCTGGGAACAGGCAGATTTCCCCCTAGGGAACTCCCACCTCCCCCCACAACAGGGGAGGTACGCCGCCCCTCTGCAGTGAGATCGCCCCTCCGGCGCCCCGCCACACTTGGCACTTCGTGGTGTTCCCCGTGGGTCGCTGCTGGCACTTTGCCTGGCCTGCAGGCAAAGAGCTTGAGCTCACCCTCTATTTGTAGCGGTTTAAAAAACAGGTCTGTCATTCAGGGGAAAATGCTAGCTTGAGTTGACACCTTGCCACGCTGCTCTTTCAGGGACAGGGCAAGGAGTTATTGCCTCGGACACCAAGCTCTGCATAAACAGCCCTTTGCTAGCAGCAGTTTAAATGACAGCAGCATGTAACTTGATTCAGAATGATTTAAGTAGATATCTCTCGGCTTCCTGATTCATGACACCTTGAAGAGGTGAAAGAAACTATTCATGACTCCAGGGATTTGCTGGAGTAAATTATAGGGGGACCCCCCCCCCCGCCAAAAACAAAAAAAAATAAGTCCATAGCTTTTGCACAAAGCCATCACAGGCTTCTGCTCTGCATAAGAAACTTCATCCTGAAAAAGCAAGACAGGAAAAGTTGAGGCCTGATACAGAGCCTCTGTTTTGTTTTAACCATATGGAAATGTTTCGGTGGGGGTGGGGGAGAGATAGAGGAAATTACCATTTTTAGAAAATAAGGAAAATCAAATCAACTAATCTCATTTCAAAACAATGTAAGAAGCCAGGGATCCAGGGGATAGGAGAGGCAGAGCCATTTTGTAAGAAAATACTTGGAAATTGTTTGAAACCGTTGAACTTAAGCAGTTCTGAGTCCTTTTCAAATACAGGGGTGTAGGTTGCAGCCATGTTGGTCTAAGGACACGGGCAGACAAGGTTCTTTGGGTGAATCTGATCTCTTTTATTAGACCAACGATATCGGATTTACCCAAAGAACCTTGTATGCCTTTTCAATACATGCACGCTTGTCAAACATATGCTCGAAGCTCTGATGAAACAACCATTTATAGAAGCTGCCAAATGGAAGTTAATTAAACTCTTGCTACTGATTCAGGGGATACGAAATTATACCGCTAACTTTGGCTTAAAAATATTCAACCACTAAGAATCTTTCCTTTGTTCTGCTCAGTCTCACAATGCTGTCACTGCACCATCTCCTTTCAGATTGTTTTGCCAGTTGTCCAAACCCCTTTTCAAGCAGAGCATGAGAAATGGCAAAATCATACAAGACAAGTCAGTGTGGACAGAAGTGGAGGGAGGATGTGGCAAGTTGTGGGCAAGGTAGAAGAGGGGATGGCTTACAATGAACCTCAAAGGAAAGGGGAGCACTGTGACTGCTCAGTGCTTCTAACAAGATCTGGAGAATATAAATGTTCCCCTTAGCAGGGGGGTCACCATGCTAGTGGCTGCCCTGTCCCCCACGGGAGCCCAGGAACTGCAAGACTGATTCTTCAGAGGTGCTGAGCACCCACCCCTGGGAACCGGATGGAAGATGATTATATTTAATACCTCTGAGAACTAAGCCTCAGGCACCACAGCTTGAGGGTGTGAACACATCTACATCAGAAGCAGCTTCAACAGGGGAGTAGCTGTGTTCTAACAGCTACATGTGAACCAGTGGAAAACAATCCTGAGACCTTTGTATAGTTCTCGGCTCCGTCACACAGAACAATTAGACACACCAGCCCCTGCCTA